CCAAACGTCAAGTTCAGGGCACAGCACTCCACCTGAGTCACTGAGGCCGCGATCCCATTCTGCTAACTCTGAACAGCGCTTCCGGACGCGCCGCATAATTCCGCCTGCATATCCACATGCGTGCTCCAACAGAACTCTGCACCACCTCCGACCTCAACTCAGACAGAAACCCAATCCGTCTTCTATCCGTCTTCTGACAGTCTGCCAGACTCTAACAATATTCCCAGTCTCTGACAGCATTCCAGATCTCTGACAGTATTCCGACTCCGACAATAATCCAGACTCTGACAGTGCACAGCAAAAAGACTCAATTTGCTCACAGAGCTCACAGAGCTCCCTACCAAGTTTGCTGATGTTCCCTCTGGGTCACACTACACAACTCTAGGAGCTGTATAGTTGTGGGCATGTGACCCATTCCTTTATATAGCAACCATGTGGGGAGGTGAGACCTTTACCCTTCTTCTCATCTCATGCCCCACATAGGCAAGCACACTTATTTCCTCTTTTCTACTATACATCTCATGCCCCACATAGTGTGAGGATAGATTAGATGTCAGGGAGCCTCCGAGTCCGAGGCTGGGCCCTGACACAAATACTCAATTGTTTAGCCCCACACCCCCAAGTCACATGTACCAGGTTGTATTTGTAGTCATGTGACCAAGCAGCACCTGCTTAACACTACCATAAAATACACACCATTGTAACACTTACAGTTTGGTGTGCTTGTCACAAACCCACCTGGGGAAGATCCAATTGCTACCCAGGTGGGTGTATCTGATGGAGCTTGATGTTCTGGGTTGTCCGATGGTGGGTCAGAGACAGGCCGGAGGTGGGGCAGAGCTCCGAGGGTGACAGGGTGTTGAAGGGACTCAGCTTCAGCAACTTGGAATGGAGTGCTGCACCCATTATGTCCTTGTTGTCCCCAATTTGTCAGGGGAGCTGGCAATGGAGGAACTGAGGCTGCCAGCAGAAGGGGGCCAGAAGCCCCCCCTCACTACTTAACAATGGAGGCATTGGTGAGGGTCAATCATTTGTCATGTGATTCATTGGGGTTTATACCAAGTGTCATATCCATCCCTGGCCATCGACTTCTGGTCCCTCCGATTCCTCCACTCCTCCCTCACTAACCTCGGAGCCCCCGTTATTCCGCAATCCTCTCGGTACCCCTCGATGGTCACCACCCCCCCATTCCAATTTATTACCTACGCCTCCCTAAGTACGGAGCCCCGAAGACTTCCGGACAGCTCCGACGTCCGCTAGCGCACCCCCACCTCCGCTGAGCAATACACTCGCCTGCCCTGCAGAGTCCACCTTCGGGCTTATCCCTCCTTTCCGTTTCTGGGTTATCGCCTGCCTTTCCGCTAACCCCGTGAACCGACTCGTCGGTAATATTCAGTCGGCTAATGGTTAAACCCCGTTAGCTCCGCTCCGTTCGGCTCCGCCAATTGCGGAACCGTCTCCGCTGTAACCATATATATATCCCACTTGTACATAGGTTACGCCCCAGTAGAAAAATCAACTAGAGTTCCCCCCTAGGTTCTAATTGCCAGTCAGTAAGTTAGGGCACGGACGTGTCACTAGGCACAGCGCTCCTGGCAGAAGTCGCTGAGGCCGAAGCCCTCCGTTACAGAGACATTCTTTCGTCTCAAGTCTGGTCTCTGACACCAAGGTGCTGTAGGTGGGATAACCTACTATACCCTACACCGCCAGTATTTTTGCAGTTCCTTAAGGATTTCCCATATGCGATGATCACCTACCAATGCCAATGGTGCATAAGAACATTTTATTTCATTTAATACCGGGTACAATTGCACATAATGTGCTGGTACTGAATTGGTTCAGCCCAAAAACTACGCTTGGCGCTACTGGCCGCCAGAAGACGATCAAGGGCTCAGAAAATAGAGAAAAATCATAACTATGGATTCCCCAAATTTCGTCCAGATCAACCCAGCCGTTGTGGAACAATGGTGGTGATGATTTCTCATCTTACCGCGAGGTTCTGCACAATGTCAAAAGGCACGTGGGGGTGGTGGTGTCGAAAGTCCTGTGTGGCAGAGCCAAGATCCGTACTTCGGGAGATCATGAAACTGGTTTTCAGCCCAATATGGAAATCACAAGCTGTACCGAAGCAAACAAACAGCCAAAATGCACTCCGGAGTGCTCATAAAAACTCAGAAGAATCACAAAGGATGCGTATGAAGATCCAATTGACACAGGGACTCTCGCAAACACTTTTTGGGACGTCTAACCCTGTGCATGGGCCAATTTTATGATTCTCATGCCCACCACTCAGTCAAATCTCAACCATTTGGGACAAATTTAGTATCAAAAGCTGCGAACCCGGGGAATCGAATGGAGAGGTCAGGAAAGGATGCTACGGGTAGGAAGAGATGGATGAGTGTAGTGTAATGGTGGAAATTGGTGGAGAATGGCAATTATTAGTGAATATGGCCTGCTTATCACTCCTGTTTCTTTTTATTGAACTTCCACGTTGGCTGTTGGACTTATTGGCTGTACTTAACGGTCCACATGGTGCCTGTAACAACAATCCTTCGTTTTATATTTTTCCTTTCATTTTTTTTTCCACATTATTGCCATTCCATGTGTTTAAAAGCTTGTACATGTAGGAATGGAAAAGAGACTGTAGTGCTGAGAGATCCAAGAAAAAGAGAGAAATTCTAAGCTTGACTCTTTGAGTATTATAAGGAAATCCCTGACAATTGTCCAAGATGGACCAGGGGTACATAATTCTCAGTGAGTTTTGTGATTGTTGTTGTTTTGTTAGGACCCGGACCAAACCTAGGACAAGCTTAGGATAATCCCAGACTTCCTCCCCACAAATTTGCTCACATTTAGGGGGTTAGATCTCTAGCCCGCTTGCAGCGCCTTCAGACACGTCTGTGACTCAGTTCTTGGTTCAGGGCGGAGCAACAGGTAAGTAGAATGTGATAGACATTGTAGGAGCGCATAACAGGTAGGCTCAATTTCATGGAACCTTACACAGCAAAACATCAAAATTGGGCTCCCGCACTTGTACATTATTAGGAAAAAGGAATCGTAGGAGGGAGTAATAAGAAGGAAGAAAGAGGGTTTTCGTACGAACCGAAAGAGTCTTTCCGCAAAGGAATTGGTTGAGATTTGGTGGAGAAATTCAACCTGAGATGTCCTCATGTGCAAAGTCCGTGCACTTGACTGCAACCATGGGAACAAGGTCAAAGGTTGACGGAAGAGGACGATCTTGGGGTCATTAAATCCAGAAAAATGCCCAAAGACTCAGTGTTGAATTTCACCCTAATCGGTTCAGTGGTTGTGGAAATATTCTGATTGTTGGGCATGATGGGAGTCACAGGATGATATGAACTGTTCAGATGCTCACATGCGAGCTAGTCTCAGTGAAAATATGGGCTAGTCAAATAATATAAATGCTGAAGAAGTCATTGGAGGAGTCTTGGAATTATGGCATTTTATTTGGACCAAATTTCCCTGTGCACAGATAATCAAAATATGTATACCACTTCTGAAAATTCCTGTTCTCAATCAAATCTCCACCAAATTTCACAAAATCGGTATCATTAGAAAGCTATGGATAAGGAGAGTCAGATGGAATAAAAGGACAGAGGTTTGATGCAGTGTTTGGAGTGGTATGAGGAAGTTTGTGTTCTCCTTTTCAATTTCTTTTGTTGTTTGGAATTTTATTCTAAGTCAACGGCAGCCAAACCTTACTGCCGTTGTTGGTGGAGGCTTAGCTCAGCCAAACCCATATATTTTGGACTCTTTTCACAAATTGTATGATTGCTGTATGGATATATGTATGTAGCGATTGAAATGGAATAGGTGATTTCCCCCCCTCCCACTACTTTTGAAGTCCATGTACTTGGGTGCTGTGAGTGGCCACATGATTGGTAAAGGGCTATTGTGACCTTTAGGGAAATCCACCATGGAAAGAAGATAAGCAAGAGTTACCAGAGTTAGATATTTCCTGGAAATTCCCCCCCCCCCTCCCCATTGATTGTATGGACCCATTCTTACTGCAACACCCTTTCAGCCCCCTTTCTCTTTCTTCCCTAGCTTTTGGGGAGTGAGTTGGAGTGCTACCTTCCATTCTCAGGGAGACAGTAGCAGATTTCCCACTTGCAACGTCATGGGAGAGGGTTTGGATTCAAGGACTTAATATTATAACTGGGGGGAACTATTTACTAGAGTGGTACACATGTACATATAGCAGAGGTAAAAGGATCCAAAGGTAACCAAGGGTTACCAAGGGGAAGGAGAAGTAAATAGAAAGACTCCACAGGACAAATATAGGATAGGCGAAAAGCCTGAGTTACGACTGAAGTTTGTGGAGTGGGAGAATTAGAAACCAACTGAATGGTAAGGCCTGGGCCCATCTATGAATGAGCAGGGGAACTACAGGGGGAGACGTCTGGAATATTGGGCTTGTAGAAAATATCAAATGATAAAACAATAAGGAATAACATGACTGGAGGTAAGGTAGGAGTGGAGGTACTGGAGGTACATGACTGGAGGTGACTGAGGTCCATATCCTTTGAACAAGAGGTCTGAGGAGGTGGAGGTCTTGTAGGGGAGGTCTGGAGGTAGGAGGTCCAGAAAGAGGAGTGAGAGTTGAGGTATGTCCTGAGGTTCCCGACAGCTTGTCAGTACTCTAGTAACTTACCAGAACAATGTAGGAGTTCTGGAGGTGATGCGGATGCAGATGGGAGGAAGGGCAGAAGAGAGTCGAAGGAGGAGGTAGTCCTAGGATCGTTGGCATTGACCAGAGGCAGCAGAGAGAGATTGGGAGGGCTGGTGGAGGTTATAGGAGTCATCTAGGACTAGGGTGGAGGGAGGTGGAAGATCCAGGATATGACAGTGCTGAGCAACCCCTGTGAGGCCCTGGCCCATGTCTATATTCCACTCACAACATCAATTGATGTTGTGTTGTCTAATAGTTATGTTGCAATGCTAATATAGCATCACAGATGCTTCTCTATTTATGTGTGCCAAGAATGTATAAGATTGTATATAAACCTCGGGGTAGAGGGCAGACCAGCCTTTACCTCTACCCCATTAATATACAGCTCATCAAAGCATATCATTTAGATGGAATATCTGAGGCCTGAGGCAAACAGGGGAATGGAACATTACTGTCCCCAAACAAGTAAGCAATCCTACAACCCCCCTGAGACCTCACATCAATATAGCAGATACAGGTTAGCCCAGCCAAGTTGGAAGAGGAATATCTATAAGAGGGATGATGGCGCACATATGTGCACCAGTTGTGATACAAACTGTCCAAGAATGAGTGAACACAAAACATTCCAATTAATATGAGCTGTAGGGAAGCTCATCTGCACCAATTCCTGTTCGTAGTAGGTCAACTTTCTTGACAAAGATTTCAGACAATATGAAAGCTGCAAGACTTGGGTCATTCCAGTACGATGAGTGAGCCTTTCCCACAAACATCAGAGATCCCTAAACAAGGGGCTAAACCGCTCCACTTACCGTGATCATATCTATGCAGCAAACTTGATGAGTGGACAATCCCAACAAAACACTCTCCTGGACTTACCAACATATTCACTCAAGTTCCCTTCACCTGGCAAAAAATAATCCAGCGTTCCATGCGAATTCAATGCTTTAAATCTGGAGAATGGTCGGCCAGCGGTTCCGTGAAGTGCATTCATTCGCTTACCTTCGCTCTGCTCTATCCCCTTCTAAAACCTTTGCCTCCGATCCACTATCTGGCAGCTCAATACCGACTTGCATCCCTTGATGCATTGTCGACCGTTCCAAGGGGGATGCTCCCGATGGAGAACCGGCCGACTTCCGGCGACTACCCCCGCTGAAGTCGAACAGTCTGCTCATCCTCGATCTCAAAGGGGCCAACACGGGCGCATTCACATTGGGTATCGAAGAAGGGGGCAGTTCGCGCGCTCGTCTATGTGAGGGATAAGCATCAACAGTTCAATTGAGGGTGACGGGAAAGGTGACGCACTCTGAATCAACACATGGGTTCATGAGGTAGCTAAACAAGCATAGCTCGTGAGTAATCTGTCTTGAAACGGCTGTCCGGATGCTTACGCGACAGGGTCAGCGGGATTGAACTGAAAGTCATAAGACCATTCAAATACGAAAAAGAACACAAGGCCGAGGATCGACGCACGATGTTGTAAATTGAGTCTGTCGCAAGGCACCCGAAGAATCCGACCCGATCTAGCTACGTTCCTCATAAATTACGAAAGCTAGCTGGCACCTAAAATAAACACACCGCTTCATCATTCGGGGAGGACATTGTTCGCTCACGGCCCTAGATATAGGCACATAATTAGACCAGTTCCTTCCAGTAAATTAGCACCATAAAAAATAAGGAACTACCTTCCGTGCTATCAGTTGAGTCTAGTGATGTGGGTCAATGACAACTAGTCAACCACATGTGGCAACTGACGCACATCGTGGATACGGAGAAAAACGGGCAGAGGACTACCAAGGTTAAACACGGTGCTAATGGAACATTTGGAAAAGCACGCGCTCAGACTCTAGGACAAGTGCCTTACCTTGTATTGAACAAAAAATGCTCCATCTCCCTCATGGCCTGCTTGGGCGGAACAGTGGACAACGGGGGAACGATGGTTGGTTGATTTGAAAGGATGTGCGCCACGAGGGCCGTACCGAGGGAATGGGCAACGAGATGCTGGAGAATATTTGTTTGGAAACGTTCCTCGTTGATCAATTAACTTACCACCCTGCCCTGTGTCTCGAAATTAGGGTTCCGAGCACACCACAGACGATATGTTCGGTTCCTGAAATCAGAAGGTCGTTCACTTTCCAAGCACGGTGTATCAAAACGACAAACGCTTGGTAACAAACCTGGGCGTCCGTCAGTACTTTTTGCGCACACTGATGAAGGGTTGCAACACCAACCGATTCAATCATACGTTCCCGATGATGGCTCATATATAATGGAATATCCGTCAGAACACCATTTGTAAGCTCTCTTATGAAGCTGCGTAAAGGGTTATGAGCCCATGTTCTGCGTGTTGCGCTTCAAAGAGAACATACGGGATGCTTCCTTTCGGGGTTATCTCAGATAGTGTAAACTCATTATCCAGCCCATCTTTGGACCCTTTCTTGTCCAGATCGTATTTCATACTGGCACGCCACTGAACTGGAAGGAACTGAACACGCTTCGACCTCACGATAGAAGCTAAAGCGGGTGAGACTGATTGCTTCCTTTTGATAGTGGTGATGAGATCCCGCCGTAATGACGTATTCCCAGACATACCGTGCAACGTTTCGGAACATATTTGTTGCGTAGACCTGAGGATGGTGGGTCAATCACGACCGGAAACGTGTACAGGGTCTGCACATACGAAATTGAATGACTCGTATTGTGCTGTCAACTGGGTGTACATGGCGTCAGAATCAACAAATGATCACCAAAATGGATGGACGTACACCCTGGCCGATTCCATGGACAATGAGGATCAAGTCGGTCACTTCATGAACATTTTCCTCCATCTTATTAGAAACTGCTCTCTTGCCATTCGTGATGATTGGACCCTGACGACAATGTTCGGGTGGGACTTGACCATTTTTATACGACTCGAGGCTGGAATCTTTTACTGGCGGATCCCGAACGGCATGGATGGCCACTTCGTCACAGCCTCGGTACACAGTTGTTGGTCCGAAATCCTTCGTTCCTGAGAACATTGATGCTAGCCCATGTGTTGTGTGCGATCTACGTAAGCGGGTAATGAATATCGAAGATGAGATAATAGCTAATGATCATACGTCGAAATCAGCTGAGCTGAACCAGCATTGTTGAAAACGAGAGTGTACTCCGTTCCTTCAATGGGATGCCGAAGTTTCTCTCGGCCCTCTGGCCCTAATTCATGCGCCGTGCGCAATTCGTCTTGATAGAACGGCTGTTTGGGTGGATAAATATATGAATGAGTGACATTGAAGATTGCAACCCACCAACCATGGCTTGATGGACCTTGCAAGCGCGAAGTGTAAACAGTCCATCACAAAGAATGCGAAATAGGCCGAGCTCCTTACATATACGCATTCTCAATCTTCTCGCTGAGTTCGCTTTCAACGGGACGGCTCTGCGGAAGTGAGATTTTGTTCAAGGAAGTTGGAGGGAGCATACCTCGGTATACATCCATACAGCCCTCATTACGTCAATCGAGGGGCCACCAGTACTCCAGTAGATCGGTCGAAGCTTACCGATGGAGAATTAGAGGTAAGGGGTTTAATGACATCGTCCGCCGTCTCGTACCTTCATGGTGCGTACGTCAACTTCAAACAGCTGTTCCTTCCCGACCGGGACACCCAGAGTGACATCTTCCGCCTCCACCGCAGCAACTGGAAAGCAAAGAGTTAGCGCCGTGAAGAATAAATTGAGTGTGACCCTTACCTTCTTGGGGATCAAACGGCTTCCCCAAAGGTATAAGGTCATCCACAGTATCAACGGTTGGTGTATCCACGGGACCCTGAGCCTTCAGGTTTCTCCAAGCCAATTCGCAAGCATCTGATTCAACGCGCGTGAGAGCCTTCCACGTTGGATTAGGGTTTAAGGTGATTGGAGCAATGGACAGCAACTCCGGGACGTCGACTTGAAACCATCGTACATGTATATCAGGGGGGTTAGAAGAGGTGTCGTCCATGACTTCCAGTTCCAAAGTAGGCTCAGGTGAATTGAATTCTACACGATGGAATCCACTGCGTTTAAGCCAGACTCGTCGGCAAACGAAGGGAGATGTCTGAGATAATATAATGATCACGTGCTTGCCAAAAAATGGCCCTCATTCCTTGGGGGTCGGCAAATGAAGGGAGAGGTCCGAGAAATTAAAAGTAGCACGTGATTTAAAAATATGGCCATTGCGCCCACCCGAAAGCCACTCCATTTAACCACACAACTTCTACTAAGTGTTATATAATTATTGCCCGATAATAATATTAAAATGCATATGTGGTATGGGAACTTACTTTGAGGCGGGTTTGTACATAACTACAGTATGTTGGAAATTCACAACCTTTTCTCACGCATCAGTGGGATTTTCGAAAATCTGACTGACCAAAACCTGCATTCACCCCCATAGAGCAATTAGGCCAAGTTTGAAGCAAATTGAAGTAGCGGAAAGGTACATTCCACTGCTCTGAAGCTGAGATGGATATGAGCCCTAACTCTGTGCAATGTATGTCTATACTCATGTAAAGACTGCACGTAAAAATATCCAAATGTGGCTATGATACTCCCCGGAAGTTTGGGGCTGTCACATGCAGTAATCACAGAGCTATGGGGATATGCAACAAAATACATGCTCATGCACAGGGAATATCTTTTGAACTAAGCCGAATTTTAAAAATCTGAGTGACCAAATGTTAGGCACATAACACATCTACCAGCATGCCAAAATTCGAGCAGAATGGAGGGGGTTGAAGGTACATTTGGGACTCACCTTTCCCAAAATGCACGATAGGCGCAAATAGGGATCACGTGTCAGGGTTTCACCGACCCCGCGCTTGACTTTGACATCTAGTTCTCTTATTAGAATATCAACATTATTTACATCAAGGAATTGGTGGGTGTCGTGTGGCGAACGCTTTGGGGTGTTATGAGGCACTTTGGCACTTTTGTCCAACTCAAAACTCCGTTGTGCGATGATGTTGCCACACAGTGATGTCGCATATATAAGGGAGCAATTTTTTTTGGGACTTTCTCCCTCAGATCTCTAGTCAGAGTCTGAGGTGAGAACAATACCTTTTATTTTATATGTTATAACTCATGTATTACTCACGTCGCAGACTTGCACGACTTAGGTACATATAATACATAGATCTCTAGTCAGAGTCTGAGATTACGCGACTTAGTCTTATCATTTCTAATATCTTTTGCTGCTTTGGGTAGGCTTACATCGGGCTATCCAAGAAAGTGGCCAAACAGCAACTTGACACTCATCGGTACCTTCATCCTGATGATTAGGAAATACCGAAGGCTGGCGTCTTTATATTGAAGGTCAGAAGAAAGTGCTTACACGAATAGCCAGCAAGTACTCAGCTCCAGCAACTGCTGGATGGAGATCGAGAGTGATCGTGCTTGATTACACACGGCTCAAAGACCCATTTATGCAGTCATTTTTGCATGTAGATAACCGACAATCAATATTTTGTTCTTGTTCCCCGAGTTTTAACATAGTTTGCAACCTAAAGATGAGGTCTTGGGAGAGGGAGGACAGCGCGGCCACGATCGAGCCAAGTTTCACTTATGTAAGTGTCACAAGGTCACAACCTTGTTGCCGACCCCCACATTCCTTGTCGAAAACAATTCCTCTTGACTAGTACACCATGTATTAAATATCGCCATAATTATTACTCAATAATGATATTGAGATACCTGCACAGGATGGAAACCCAATTTGAAGCGGTTTTTATGGATGATTATGGAATATCAAAAAATGTGCGGGATCGTCTTGGGCTTTTCTCGTGCATCAGGAAGAATGTCAAAAATCCACTAGGCCAAAATTTGCATTCATATCTCTAGAGTAATCATGCAAAGTTTGAAGCCAGTTGGAAAAGAGGAAAGGTACATTCTGCGACTCTGAAGCCAAAATGGATGTAGTAGGCCAAAGCTCCATATAATATATAGCTATACCAATGTAATAACTAAGCGAAGAAGTAGTCCAATGCTATTATAGCAATCCTTCGAAGTTTGAAGAGTTCATATGTAGCAATCATTGAACTATAAAGCAATATGGTAAAATGCGATTTTTTGTATGATGAATAACTTGTGATTGAGGAAGAATTTCCAAAATTTGGTAGGCCAAAATATAAACAGACGATATGTCTACAAGCATGCCAAAATTCGAGCAAAAAGAAGGGGATTGAAGGTACATTTGAAGCTCATCTTTCCGAAAATGTTGAAATAGGCACAAATAGGGATCACGTGTCATGGTTTACAATGTTGTGGGCCTCACCCAGCCTCAAATGCGCTGTTGCTTTGGTCCAATCAACTTTATAATTAGGGGGTAATTGTTCGTATTTAGTCTCCCAAATACTGCAGGACAAAACTTCCCAGAATGCCTTCACTCTCATGAGATAGATACATGAGACTTGGGGTCTTTACCAACCTGAGTATGGACATTGAGGGATGGAAAGGAGTACTAAGACAAACAGCTAGAAATCTAAAACACCATAGCATGGCAATTACAGCCCCTCTGATGATGGAAAATGATGGAGAATGATGGTGCTCAGCTCGAACATGGCTCAATCATTAAAATGTCCATCTAATTACCTGTCCTTCCATATACATAATCTTTAGTCTACATAATACCATTATTCAGTTAATTCTAATATAGTTTACAACCTAAGGATGATGTGTTTTGAGGGTGAGGATGGTGTGGCCAGGATTGAGACGAATATTGCTTATGTAAGTGTCACCAGGCTTTAACCTGGTTTGCCGACCCCCAGTCGTAGCTCTGTGGACATGCACTGCACACACACAATTTCAAGTTGGGTTTATATTGAAAGTCACAGTCACCTTTACATAATGGAGTAGTCATCTTTGTATTGAATGTTTGAAGTCACATGTGCTGGAAATAGAGTTAAACCCGATCACCTGCTATGATGACTGGGTAGCAGAATGGCAGTGGTGATGCTCGTGGCAACTTCTGGGACCACTAGAGTTGTAGAGAAGCTTTTCTGAGACCACTCTTGGTTCCTTCACACCATGAATGGACTGGCAGAGCGTGCAGAAGATGTACTTAACCATATGCTAATCAATGGGTTCACATTCATGTCTTTTCTATCAACCATCTTAACCTCCATGTGCTTTGGTGACAAAGTACGAGATTGTCAGAGACCAGATCGAGATGAAGGAATGTCTCCGTGGTGGAGGGCTTCGGCCTCAGCAACTTATGCCAGGAGCGCTGTGCCAAGTTACACATCCATGCCCTAACTTACTGACTGGCAATGAGAACTAAAGGGGGTCAACTCTAGTCGATTTTATTACTGAGGTGCAACCTATGTACAAGTTGAGTATATATAGTTACTACGAGGGCGGGCCCGTAAATGGCAGGGCTGAGCAGAGCAGAGCTAACGGAGGTAAACATTAGCTGATTGAATATTACCATTATGGGGTTAACAGAATGGTAGGTGATAATCCAGAAACGGAAAGGAGGGATAGGCCCAAAGGTGGGCTTGCAGGGCAAGCAAGTGAATTGCCCAGCGGAGGTGGGAGTGCACTAGCGGACGTTGGATGTTATGGAAATGGGATTTTCCCATTTTTAGCCTCTTATGGGCTCTATGCAGTATAATATCACGTGACATGTAAATATTAAGAACCTAACCAACTACTATCACCCAAAACACCCGATGTCCATGTTATTGTAAACCCCACTGTTACAACATCTGTTACATTAATTGTAACATCTTCTCAATGTCACGGCCCCCTCCTGCACCCAGACGCTATAGAAATGGGCCAATTAGGCCCCATTTTTATAACATTGGAGCTGTCTGGAAGCCTTCAGGGCTCCGTACTTAGGGAGGCATAGGTAATATTACCTTGCTTGCAAGGTCACTTTCCGGGTCCACAATTCGTGGGAATCTTCACTTTCCCACCCCACCGATCTCTCGTCCCATTGGCTACTACGAATCCTGACTCGTGATCTCTTCACGTGCTTTTACATGTCCCATTCATTTGGTCACAAGGTCGTGATTATGTGGTTTCGATCGTTGTCCACTGTGCCACTGTGCCACTGTGCCATCTGAGTCCTCTCCCATCCGGTGCGCGTCTCCTTCCCCAATCTTTCATCTTCTACCTCCAAGATTGGACTTGCTGGTTGTCTGAAGAGCCTCTCATTGAATGCTCGCAAAAGTCGGATTGTGTCACGGCCAGAGCTTCGTGATAACGCCACATAAGTGTTGAATGGTGTCAGCCCTCCTGTTGGTGGAGGTGCAAGATCGATGATGACATGCCGGATTGTTTAGCCTTGAGATAATCTGTGAAACCATATGCCCCTGTCATAGGCAGCTGTCGGTGCTTCACTGTCTTCGATTTCCCATCGACAACATCCACCCGATCTCTGGCCACTTCTTCCTTTTCGACTCTTTTCGGAGTGTCTGGATCCTTAACGTACCTGTTGTCAGTCCACAACAGTTGCCATTGGCTCGTCTACCATTATCTCGAATTAGAACCTGTGGCAGAATAACAAAGGGCACAGGCCATGATTGTATTCAAATTGCAGGGAAGAGACGCGCACAATAACGTTGTCATTTTGGCAGGCGGTGCAATGTGGAGAGAAATTTTTACATAAGAGTGTATCACACAACAGTTGAAAACCTAGTGTTGATGGCGTTGACATTTAGTGGGTGAGAAAGAAGCAGGAAACGGGCGTTCAGAGGGCGACCCATCCTTTCCTCGGCCCTTGACCCACAGGGAGAGATCATCAAGACTATGTTGGACACAAATGAACGAGCACCTGAAAATAACGTCTCTTGAGTCAAGCTGGAGCGATTACTTGCTTGTGTGCTAGCCAGGACGCCACCAATCACGCCACCGATTAAGCCTTCAGAATCCCTGCGAGTTTTGAAGCCTGAAGAGTCACTGAATATTGTCGACGCGGGAGGAGTTGATGATGTTGTGATGACCACAAGCAAGGTCGTGGCT